TCTCTCTCTCTCTCTCTCTCTCTCTCTCTCTCTCTCTCTCTCTGAAAAAAGAAACACCCATTCAATTCCCCCACCCTATCATCATCATCATCTTCTTCTTCTTATTTTTCTTCTTGTTTCTCACCTACACGCACCATCAGAAAAAATAAACCCTTATTATTATTTTTTGAATTCTCCTAAATTCGAAGTAGCCTTCTGTGAGCCATTTTTGAGTTCCAGTTGTCGAGGGCGCCTATGTTTTGATGTGAAAATAAGGCTGATAATGGATGCTATGACGATGGTGGTTCGTTGGATTTCATGTTGCTGATTTCAGGTATGTATCGCAGCAAATCTACTTTACCAAACATTTCTCATTGTTTCTTCTCTTCTAAATCGATCTATGTGTTTAGTATTACACCTTTATCTGATCAGTCTTTTGTCAAGTTGTGGGTTCTTCATTATTTGATATCACCATTTTCCTGTATGCTCTGGATTTTTTTCTTTATTGAGCTTGCTTTTCTACAAAGATCGCAAATGGAGTTCCTTAAAGTGAAAAGGGGAAGGGACACCCATAACGGGTTTTGTACCCCAGGAGATTTGTGTAACATCCTGTTTCGAAAAGTTTCTTATTTCGGAATTTTGGACAATAAATGGATCAAGTAAAGGCCTTGGGCTTCAAAGGAATAGGGTTTAGACCCTATTGGATGTTGATAATATTCGTCACGCGATCCAATCCCATGGGTTGTGTTGGAGTCAAAGGGGCAAAACGGGAAAAATGATGTTTCAGACTTCTTGCATGAAATATGAATTTTTGTTCGAGAAGTTTTTAGTCCATGATATTTAGATAATATTGTGGGGCTCCTCAACACATTTTTGTGGATATAAAGATCATCGAAATCGGAGTTAAAACGAAGAAATTATGACTGTTTGAAGTTAGGCAGTTTTGGGTTAAGTCGCGTACGCTGGGCGTACGGGGAAGTACGTTGGGCATACTAGGGCATCCCTGAGTACACTGGGCGTACCAGGAGTACGTTGGGCGTATGCGATCAGTGCCCAAACCCTATTTTCGTGGTTTGAGCCCTATTTAAGCTCCTTAACTTCCCAAACCCATTCCATTCTCAACCTCCACCTCTCCAACACCCTCCCTTGAAAACCCTAACCCTAGTTTGAGGCTTTTGAGCAAAAAAATGTGTGCTTGAGTGCTTTGGAGTGTTCTTGGAGCATCTTGGAGAAGAAGGAGCTCTTTGGAGAAGTGTTGGTTGCATTGGAGCTTGTAGATCCAGACTTTGTTCACCTTTATATTTCTTCTAGAGGTATAAAGTTTGAATCTTGATGATTCATTTGATAGATCTAGCTAGTCTTGGGTGTTATAAGCTTTTGGTCACTTTAGTGCATAAAGTTTAGATCTTGAAAATTTGTGACCTTGTTATGGATAAAGTTGGAAATTTTATCCATCTAAACATCATATTGTTCAGATCTAAAGGTTGAGACTTGGACTTAATGGATTAAGTTGGAAAATATGCACTTTTGGTCCCTTTGAGACTTAAAGACTAGATCTTGGTTGGTTGGGCCATTCTAATGGATAAAGTTGGAAACTTTATTCATTATGGAGTTATTAGGAACCATAAAAATTAAGGATGAGCTTTAGAACCGGACCGGTTCGGAACCGGAACCGGTTTTCCTATATTATAAGAACCGGGAACCGGATCGCCGGTTCTAGCGTCGGTTCCGGTTCCGGTCCCGGTTTTTCGGTTATTTTTCAAACTAGAACCGGTTTTTCGGTTACATTCTAAATTGAAGTACAAACACTAAATTACATGATGAAAAAAGAATCAAGTAATTCCGACTTCATATGAGTGAGTTATGCGCATTTTAAAAGTGGGACAAATTTCAAAAAAAAATGTTGAAACAGAAAATACGCAGCATTGATATGTTGTCTTTCGAGGTCTATAACTGATTCAATATCTAACCAAAATATGTGTTTTTATAGTCTAAAATGAACTACAAACACCAAATTACATACTGGAAAAAAAATTAAGTAATTCCGACGTTATATGAATGAGTTATGCTCATTTAAAAAAATGTGACAGATTCAAAAAAACAAAAAAATGCTGAAATATAAAAAACGCAGTTTGGGTATTTTAGGTCTTTTGGGATTATTAACTAAGCTTAAGGTCACTAGTTTCGTTTAGGTGATCAGTAGAGTTGGTGTTGGAGTTATACTCGGTGTTGTGTACTTTTATGCTACTCGTCGGACTGAGGGATGAGTTTTCCTCACTGTACCCGTGGGTCGAAGGCACCAATGCCGACCCACTAGATTATGTATCCTGGTTATAAGATAGTACTATGCTAGTATATGACTGATTAGTAGATCTGTATAATTATATGTATTTGTTGGTTCTATGTTTATGTTTATCTGTTACATATGTCGACATATTGTGGTTGGGTTGAGGCCGTCTTGCTTTGTGATGAAGGCCAAGACACCCAGGCGGTCTAGATAGGTTGTAGGCCCTGTGAGTAGGGGTGAGCATAGGCGGGTACCCGGACAAATTTATTGGAACCGGAACCACCGGAACCGATTCCTGTTCCAGGTACTCGCTTGCTAAAAACTTTTAAACTATTTTAAGCTAAAGGCAATGAGATTCTTAACTTATGACCTTATTTTGAGACCTCACACTCATTGTTTTGAAAATTTTAAAACTCGTTTATGTTAACAACAGGCTTAAATACTCCAACCCATGTAAAGTTTTCAGTTCAAGCCTTATTGTTGTAGTGGGAAATAAATAAGCCGCCTTCTCCTTTTATAAGTTAAACAATATTCAAGCATTGTTGCGTCAAG